GGAAAATTAGGAGCAGAAAGCAAAAGACAGGTATCGGAAAATATTCCTTTGTAAATAGGACCATCCATCTCTGGAACCAACTACCTGCAGATGCTTTAGGGACTCTCTCCTGTAAATCAAGTAATTTTAGGGAAAGGGTTAGGAAAGAAATAAATAAGGCGAAGTGAAGGTATAGGAGAAATCATCCCAAAAGGCAGTGAAGTGAAGTGAAGTGAAGTGAAGCGTAGTGAAGTGTAGTGTAGTGAAGTGAAGTGAAGTGGGATAAAGGTGAAATCTGGGAGCATCAGATCATGACAATACACACTGTAGTACTATTACTGTTTAGTGTATAGCATATTTATTCTTTTATTAATATTAATTTATTTAACTGTAGTTATAAGTGAATTTTCATTGTATTTACTATGTGCTAGTGTGTCCTTTGTTGTTTTTATAGTTTGAGTGAGGTGTGTTATTTTGTGTTTTGTGTCTTATTGTAGTACCCCTGTCACCGGGCAAAAACCGATTTGCAGTTTAAATAAATAATAATAATCAAGGGGGATGGGTTTGTTGAAGCTTCGAGAGGTAGGAGTGCGCAGTTTCGCATGTGACCTGCTTCTTTCCTGCAGCCAGTCCTCGTCGCAATATGTTCACACCCGAACATACAACAGTATCTGTCACGACTGAAATGCAGATAACTGTCACGCTGCACATCATTTGCGAGTTGGGCCACGCCTCTTGTGGAATGCACAAGGTACATTTATTTTGCCATTTCCTGCATAAAGAACCAAATCGACATTAATGTCTGTTACCTTAATTCCACAGGCCCTGTATCGAGCAAACAATTCCAATGGAGGTTTAAGTCAGTTTCATTCTGCAAGCAAATCGCCAAGATAACATACAAAGTAAAGAGAAAGGTTAAAATAACGCTGAAGATTAACTTTCTTAACAAGTTCTCATACGACAGCCTCTGTGGTCTATTGGTAAAAGTTCCTGGCTACAGATCCAAAGGTCCGGGTTCGATTCCCGGCGCTGCCGGATTTTCTGAGAAGTAGTGGGTCTGGAACGGGGTCCACTCAGCCTCGTGAGGATAACTGAAGAGCTACTTGAATGGAAAAGTAGCGGCTCCGGTCTAGAAAACAGAGATTAACGGCCATGGAGATTCCTTGCGCTGACCACGTGACACCATCTATCCTCTAAAGGTGGCACTAACTTTGCAGAGAAGCGGTGGTCGCTCTGTCGGTATAGTTCGCCTGCGGACTAAAGCCATGTTGTTTGTTTCTGTTTTGTGGTTTCTACAGTCCCTTTCGGAAATAAGGAGGCATAAGCCTAATACATGTATCAATGAGCGACTCCTCACCCATCCACTGCAACTCAATTAACAATTACGCTATTCAATTTCAACGTCCTATTAAAAAAAAAAAGGTATAGCTATCCCTGTAACAGACCGTGAAGGCCCATAGGGTTCTGAGACGTGGAGGGTCCCACATTATCTGGACAATCGGCTCAAAGATGGCGGTAAAGTTGTCATCCAGGAAAAGTATTTAATTAATTCCTGGTACTCAATTATGTTAGAGGCTGAGTCGACCCCAGGGCCATAGTGCGGCTGGAAGGATTAGGTGAACTGAAAAAAATCCAGGAACCACATCGGGACTTGAAATCGTGACCTTCCGGCTTGTAGCACAGCACCTCAACCAACTACGCTACCGCGTGCCCTGTAACTTCTAGTAATCAAACGACATAATTAAACAGACAGAAAGACGAACACTAGTTCTCATACCGACTTTGTTTATTAAATAACTGAATATGATGTTTTCGTATTGGTTAATAAAAACATCGTTCATTTCATGTTTCAACTTTTTAAGGATATTCTCCAAAATATTTCCATTGTTTCTTCGTATCAGCCAGTGCGTGCGCCATAAATGTACGGTACATGCGTGCATGTGATAAGATAAAACTAAAGGTTCAACTAAGCCTTTACATTTAGTTGTTGCAAGAATTGTCTGATTTAGAACAATTTCTTCTTCTGTTCTTATTAAATTCCGCCACAACTGATTCAGGACGGAGGTGAAATATACGTCCTGAGATCCATAACCTCATTATTCCTACTTGGAGCAAGGAAGAAATCCGTGATCAGACGAAGGAGTCTATTATTGTACCAAGTTATAAGAGACTCCGCGCCATAGCTCAAGTGGTTAGTCGCTGGCTTCCCACCGCGGCGGCCCCAGTTAGATCCCGGGTCCGGTCAAGTGGGATTTGTGGTGGACAAAGTGGAGCTCGGGCGAGTTTTCTTCGAGTATTTCGGTTTCTCTTGCCAATCTTCATTCCACCAAATTCTCCATCATCATAATCACCCGGGGCAAGCTACAATAGGCCAATCAGTGGCCGCCGTGCCGAGTGGACCCAGTTGGATTCTACCCGCCACTAAGCGAATTAAAAAAAAAGTTATGAGAAGGGCGATAAAACTGACTGCAGTAATTATCGAAGAATATCACTGTTATCAACTTCATACACCATGTTATCCAATCTCCTTCTATAGAGGTTAAGTTCATACGTAGACGCAATTATTTGGGATCATCAGTGACTTTTCCACATGACAGATGGACTACTGATTAGATCTCATCCATTCATCAGATNATATTGGAGAAAAAATGTGAGTACGATGAGACAGCATATCAGCTATTCACAGACTTCAAGAAAGCCTATGGTTGTACAATATTCTCACAGAATTTGGGGTTCCACGAAACTAGTTACACTGATTAAAACTGTGTTTAACTGAAACCTATAGTAAAGTCCGTATAGGCAAATATTTGCCTGATACATTTCCTAGTCGAAATGGTCTAAAACACTGATATGCTTTAACGCTATTGTTTTTCAACTTTGCTCTAGAATACATCAGGAAAATCAAAGAAAACTAGGTGGGACTGAAATTAAATGGGACACATCAGCTGCTGGTCTATGTAAATGATGTAAATATTTTGGGATGCAACATATATATACTAAAGAGAAAAACAAAGAAGCTATAATTGACGCTAATATGAAGGCTGGAATAGAAGTAATTCATTCATTCATCAGTAATCTGTCAGACGACAGGTCCACAGTCTCTTCCAAAACAGTTCCTCCACTTAATGCGATTTTCTGTTTTTGGAAAGAGACTATCCAGGAAAAGTGATAATGTGGTAGTTTTTCCATTTGCTTTCCACATCGCAGTACAGCAGCCGTTCAAACCACTGGTCACGCCTGTTGCTATACGAACTTGAACCGTCTCGAGCATCATTTGCTCTGTGCTTCAAGTCTCTGCTGATGACGCTGCTTCCGACATCAGTTGATGTCTCGTCACCAGAGTGCAGGCTGGATAACACTGCACACTGGGAAGCTTCATAACTTTTACTCTTCGCCAAATATAATTATAATCATCAAATCAATAATAATGAAATGGACATAGCACGTAGCACGTATGAGAAGAGGAATGCGTACAAGGTTTTGATGGGTAAGGCAGAAGGAAGGAGACCAACAGGAAGAGATGGATGTAGATGGAAGGATAATATTAAAATGGATCTTATACAAATCGAATGGGATATTATGGACTAGACTGTTCTGGCTGAGGATAGGAATAGATGGCGGGCTTTTGTGAATACGGTAACGAACCTTCCGGTTCCATAAAATGTTGGGAAATGTTGACTACCTTGGCAACTAGTGGTGTCTCAAGATGGACTCAACTCCGCGGTGGTAGTTACACAGTCACTTAACTAGTTTACTACACATATTACAAGAGATGGCCGGATACGTGTACTCCTAAAGCGTCCACATTGGCAAATAGTCCTTTTTATTGCTAGTGGGGTGGGACTAAGTCCCTTGTACTGCGGCCACTTCTGGCCTATTGTACCAGCCCCAGATGATAGGTGAGGGTGATTGTGGAGCAATGGGTGGAATGAAGATTGGCAGGGGAAACCGAAGTACTCGGAGAAAACCTGCCCCAGCGCCACTTTGTCCACCACAAATCCCACTTGACCAGACCCGGGACTGAATCCGGGCCGCCTCGGTGGGAAGCCAGCGACTAAACAAAATACAGTATAATAACGCTTTAAAAGAGGCCGCTTCTAGACACCATACCAATTCTTAATGCTTCCCTCCGTTCTCAGGGGCTGTAAACGTGAGTAGGTGGCTAACCTTACATGCATACTGTGTAAACAAAAACACTTACATTATGATCGTCTGGGATATAACAGCAATATCTCAGAGAAACCTGATTCTTCCATTTTCGTAACCCCAAAAATACATCTTCACCGAAATGAACATCTCAAATCTCATAAACAATATTTCTTTTGGCGAAGAATATACTCGTAATCCGGAAGCGAAGAGCTGTGAAACTGGTCAACAAAGTAAGAATCCTCCCTGTACATACCAAGTTTCATAAATATTCGTTCCAGCATTCTAAAGTTAATGGGGGGGGGGATTCACAGACACAGCATAGAGATCGCATAAACCTGTTTTAGAAAAGTGGGCTAAAAATACTTTTGGTGGGTAGTTACAACATACGCCTTTTTTTTTCGTGTACAAGCAGGGCTTGAGGTGGGGCGGGATGCGGCGGGATGGTATCCCGGTTCTTTTCTAAATGGCTTAAAAGTATCCCGTTACTTCTTTGGCAGTAAATGCCTATGAATTAAAAGGGGAAAACCATCCCGGTTCTATTTTCATTCCACCTCAAGCACTGACTATAAATATAGAATATGCTACAGCATCCAGTGCTCACCATTATCATCATCTGGAAAGCAGTGCGTGTTGACAGGCATGCCTGCATTATGACACTGCAACAAACTGGTTAAAATAATTTTGTCACCAGGGTCAGGGAGAGCCACAGTACAGTGAAGACTCTGAGCAGACTTAGCTGTCTACCATGATTATGCTGCTAGATTAACTGTTAGATTAGTATCCAGACTACAGAAACGGTACAGTATCTGCATACAGTTATTAAGATTAAGCATCCAAGGAAACAAGTTATAAATAAACGGTCTGAACACAAATTCGTAATTACAAAGAGAACATTTAATTATTTCTTATTCACTACATGTTTCAACCATCTCGTGGTCATCATGTGAAAGGCATACATTAATGCAAGCAAAAATGGTCTGTAGTGGAAACATAAATAGCATAGAATGCTAAGTGAAAAACCGCTATGTAAAATATGATAAAAGCTGGGGAATTGTAAATACAACAGAATGATCAAAGTTAGGCTTCTCTCCTGTGGAGACGAGTCGGTTCTCTACCTCCCGCTTGGCCTTCAGCAGTGCTCACTTGGCTAAGTCGATGTACTCTTCAGCCACCTCCACATCAGTTGTGTACTCCTTGTCCTCTAGAAGATCCCGGATATCACTGTCCAATGAAAGTAGTTGATCCAGGGTCTCCTGTAAACGGTCTCGGTAGTACTCATAATCCTCAAGTGGGGTGCTGGCAGTGGATTTTCTTATAGAGGTACTGAACCTTGTCACTTTTGCCCTTACTGTGGGGCGCTTCTTCGTTAGTCTTCCGAGTTCGGCGTCCGCCATGTCGAGTTGTATCATATGCATCCCACTTCCTGGGTTTCGGCACCAAAAATGTCATGAATAAGACCTCGAGGGGATGTCCGTCCGACGTCACCTTATCACTATCTGAATGTAGAAGTGTCCGTCTCTCTGTCCAGTTCAACCACTGTCTTCTGTCGGCGCACACTGCCCACTCTGCACACAAGAACTTTCTTCTCTCTGGCCTCACAGTACACTGCTAGTCACACATTTTGTCTCTCAGCCTTAGCTGTGAGCTCATCAAAAAGCTTACCGTTCATCTCCATGAAGGTTTCGAGCACGTTGTATACAAGAGCCACAATTGTTTGGTTCCAGTGCCCTCTGCTGATGCGGTACAGAGCTGGGAACATTATTGGCATGATCACATGGCTGTTTTCCTCAGTCAGGCTCATTATGTACTCATTACTCCATAAGTACAGTGCACAACAGGCCACCTGAAAGTGAGGACTAGAGACACATCTTGAAATTTGTTTGAACAACGGTTCCTGAATTTTGGCAAACTGTGATGGTTCAATTACATCTAAAAGTTCTCCAATCTCACGAAGGAACATGACCTCTTTCTGACTGCACGTTTTAGGCCAGAACTTGAGTAGCCCTTTAACAACAGTTTCAGTTAGCGTGGCATCCTTTTCAAGGAACTGAAGCACACAGTATGTCAGCTGTGCATGGTACAATGAGAGACATTTAACTTTGTGCAGTGGCAGCAGAACCTTTAGGAGGAATTGCTTGTGTTCTGACTTCAGCGGTAGAGAAAAGCCGCTGATAATGCTTGCTAATATTTCCAGTAACTCTGCAACACCATTAAAATGCTCTGTCTCATATACAAACCTAAGGAAGATGTTATTTATTTGTTTGCGTATGAATGCACGTAGCCCCGGGAATTTTCCATAGATGCGATGCAGAACAGTCTTAAGGAAATGACGCTCCCGAGGGTCTTCACTGTCAAATAAGTCTAATAACTGTAGCACAAATTTTTGGTCTATTACTTGTTTGGCAATGGTGGTCTGAAAGTCGGAGGATTCCAAGAACCGTAGGAAAAACTCATACACTAACTGCAAGTGTGGCCATGACGCTTCTAATGTTGGGTCATCTTCTTCTGGATCAAAATCACTGGGCGGCAAGGTCCGGAACAGATTTGCTGAGATCATTCTGATGATCTCAGGGTAAACAGGCTCAGTAAGTACACCCCGGCCTGCTGTAATGAAGTCCACCAGCTCATTCAGAGTAGCTCGTTTAATTTCCTTTCCCTTCAGGTCAGCCACTGGGTCCATGAAGTCAAATGCCACACAGCACTGTCGCAGTTTGCGAATAAACAGCTGCTCCTGCTCTGAAGATGGGACATCTTCTCCAGAAATTCCGAAAAGCCCGTGGGATGACATTATATGAAGAGGCAACCACTTCTTGAACTGTTCTATAATATTTATTAGAGTTGCACAGTATGCACAGACGAACCAAATGTAACGTGTTGAGTTTCTGACCACTATATCACACACCAACTCGTAACTCTCCGCTGGCTAGATTCCAACTCAACTCGTAGGCTGCTGTCTTTAGAACTGATTTCGTAGGCAGTGTAGGTCTCTTATAAACCCTCAGCCGGACAACGGGAAAACGCCTCGCTTCATTGTTGCCTGGTTGCCTGTTTGGCGATATACTAGCAACGCTGTTGGTAGTTGTTTACGGCTACTTAGCAACTGCGGCGTCCCGTGTTACGTCACCGCTGTTTACTCGCTTTGCTTAGTATATACCACATTTCACAGGAACAATATATATAGGATTTGGGGTTCCAGAGCACTGCTTATGAGAACTTCCACTTTTAAGATTCTAGCTTGGATTACCCTTTGACTGTGAAAGATTGTGTTCTGTTCCTCTGAAATGCTGGTTGACTTTCAAGAGACTACACAGTATTATATCCTATAAGATAGAACCTTCCGGAACAACATACAGTAATACTCGTACATATCTTTGATACTGAAAACTGGCAGAAAATATTCATAGAATGCTGAGAAAAGTTTTGTGTCCAGAAAGACTGTAGTTGGCTGGTTGGGCATTTATGTGAATCTTGACTATAAACAGGGCTTGAGGTGGGGCGGGATGCGGCGGGATGGTATCCCGGTTCTTTTCTAAATGGCTTAAAAGTATCCCGTTACTTCTTTGGCAGTAAATTCCTATGAATTAAAAGGGGAAAACCATCCCGGTTCTACTTTCATTCCACCTCAAGCACTGTGTACAAGCCCAATATCCTAGGTTGCCTCTCGTGCTACGAAAGTGTTTTTTTTTTTAAATTACGTGCCTTTGATTTCGTCATCGGCTGATTGCGATAATTTAAAGAAAAATATACAAATTATTAAACAAATAAACACAACTAAAAATACCTCAGTGAAATAGGGCCCTTGACCACTTGAGTATAAACATTCCGGGACTTTACGAGTTGTCATCAGTCTTCGTGTGAATCTGAATTGGAAACATACATTGCTACATTACGTGATTTATTGTCAAATACTCCGAGACCGGTAATACACTTTGTGAGGGCCCATGACACATTTGCATTCGAATGTACGAGTGGAAAACTAGTATTTGTGTGACAAAATACACACTGTAACAATCATCCATGCTTAGTCAGAAATAACATGTACTTACTATAAGATGCCCCTTCCGACTCCCAAATTAAAGTTCCACGATGGAAATAAACCCTGCATCTCTTCTTCCGAATCAGGAACGTGTTCAAAAGTACAGGATCAAACACTTGTACATCCGACACCGACATCATCACCGCACTTCACGCACATACGCACACATTCACACATCCAACCAAACCACCATGGAACACATGCAATCCTACACCATAACTTGCTGTCAGACCTGCCAAATATTCAGTGATTAGTGTGCTATGCGTTTGTTGCGTCTGCGGCGCTTTGCCAACCACAACCACAATATCGACCTAGAAAAGCACGTAGTTGATCACACTCTCAACAAGCATCTCGGCGGAGACACTATCGAATCGTCGGCAGTTCCGCTCCACGCCAAACTACATGGCAACGCCATCTACCATCAATACTTCCAAACACGTATAATCGACAGTATCCCACCATTATAATGTACAGTACTTGAGAAAGTTAATGAAGATGGAAATTGTGGAACTTTGCAATATTTTCGGTAATTATAAATTAATGTTACCCATACCTGCCAATTATATTTTCTAGCCTTCTATCTATGCTATCAATCAATTTTGAAAATAGTGTGTACATGTGTGTAAATTATGCTTTATAATTTACTTACTTACTTGTGGAGCTGAGCCCTGAAACTGGTGGTTTCATACTGTCAAATCAAAGTTATATTACTTATATTAAAATATTCTGGTATTATAGAATCAGAATTCCAAAACATCGTAGTGACAACTACGAATTGTCGGGTTCAATTTCAATTAAATTAATTCGTGATAAATGTCAAATATATATAACGTTGTGTAAAATATTTAGATACTAAGGAATGCTGAGAAAAAAAAACCCTAATTTTTCTTTAGGTGTGTCCGCATTTCGAATGTCGGTAATATTCATGACAGCTATAGGACTTTTTACTTTTCAGACACCCATTACTTGATATATGAGGTTGACTGTTAACCCGTACAAAAGTTTCACATTCAGCCTATCCTCAGCCATAATTAAAATCAGTTGGAAATCCAGAGTCCAATTATCAGTTCATGTATTTAAACAACTACTTGCTTTACACGTTACTTTGAACATTTGATCGTGTTTCGAGGCAAAATCCAGTGCTATAGTTAGCGTTGTTTCCCATCACTCCCATGGTGCTCCCTAGTACACGGAAAACACGGGGAGAAATATTAACTGCTCCCCAGCCGTGTGGCGGGAAACAGTTTAGCCAATAAGCTTTGCTGTACGAGTAGCGTCCCGGCCCGGGCCTTGCGCGGTCTTGCTGCCGAGGGAGAAGGCCATTTTGTGAGCAATAGAGAGGTTGAAGGGATTGAGCGCGTAGTTGTACATCCAAGTGTTTAAACATTTTTACCAACATTTCTTCTTATCAACCTCAAATGGCTGAATTACAAGCAACATCAGTTTCTCAAGAAGCCCTGTCAGTCGCCCAGTTGGAGTTAGGAGGAAATCCAAATGCATTAGCACTTCGAAGGCCGTTCGATCCTGTGGCACATGAGTTGGACGCATCTTTCCGTCTGACACGTTTTGCTGATCTAAAAGGATGAGGGTGTAAAGTCCCTCAGGAGGTTCTTTCCAAACTCCTAGAGGGACTTCAGCAAGATGACAATAATGCCCAGGACGAACATGCCCATTTCATGCATATGGCAATTCCGCGAATTGGTAAGTTACATTCATTACATATAGTGCTGCAGTAATTTTAGCTCCGATCTGTCGCCATGATTGCAAACAAAATTTTCTTCACGCTTGCATTTTGTTAATACTCTCTCTTGATAAATATTTCCTACGATATTTTTGTAGTGCTGCTATTATCCCTTGGATTATCAAAATTGTTTTACAATATTTTGTGCTAATAAATAATTTATATAAGAAAGCGGAAAGAAATTCTGTGCCGGTGGTTAAAATATTTGCGCATGACTGTCGCCGGCAACTGCTGTGGGTAGAACATTTTCGTACGTAGTATGGTATAGTGTTTTAGCGTGTCTTGCAGAAAAAGGCAGCGTATTATTCACTATATCTATTTATGCTCAAATATGACTCTTGCAACGTGACCTTGACTATGCTATGTGCACAGATGAAATAAGGCAATTAAAATGCACGCGCTATGGAGTATCCGAGCATTGCATGGAAGCTATAGGTACATTTTTGTATTCAGAATAGCTCGACGAATGAAGTCTACAACTACGCATGGGATTACCTGACGATTCATTTTAATCTTATACCCCCATCTGTTGCAAGGTTTAACATATGGATATTTTCTTCAGATTTTCGTACCGTAACTTTGTATACATTTCTTTCCACGAATGCTACAAGCCGTGCCTCATATCCACGTTTCTTAAGATTATTGCAGTTGGAATTCGTCACATTGTATTTTTGGCAAAACTAAATTTTGACCATAAGGGAATATTATGTACAATAATTGTGCCTGTAAACATATATTTACTTGAAATATTACCGAATTGTCGACATTGCGGAAAGCAATTTTACGTCTGTAATGTAAGGTTTAATTTAGTTAGAGGTTCAGGTACTGAAAGTAATCGTAATAGTGTGAAGATTTACCTACTACATAGATCGATACATTCTTGACTTCCCCCCCCCCCNCCCCCCCCAAAATATATAAAAGAATAATGTATTCATGATATTCTATATCATAATTTGATTTTATTATTCAACAAGCATGTTTTCTTGCCTGCACATACACACACACACTTAACTAAAATTAAAAATTAAATTCGCTTAGTGGGGGGGTTGAGTCCAACTGGGTCCACTTGGCACAGCGGCCACTGATTGGCCTATTGTAGCCTGCCCCGGGTGATTATGATGGAGAATTTGGTGGAATCAAGATTGGAAGGGGAAACCGAAGTACTCGGAGAAAACCCACCCCCAGCACCACTTTGTCCACCACAAATCCCACTTGACCAGACCCAGGATCGAACCCGGGTGGCCACGGTGGGAAGCCAGCAACTGAGCTATGGCACGGCCACAATTTACTTATGGAACTGAGCCCTTTTTGAGGAGAAGCCAAATCTGCAGCTACTCAAGAATTTCCCAGCATTTTATGGAACCCGAAGGTTCATTACCATGTTCACAAGAGCCCTCCACTGGTCTCTATCTTGATCCAGATCAATCCAATCAGTACCACCCCATCCTGTCTGTCTCAGATTCATTTTAATACTGTCCACCCACCTGTGCCCTGGTCTTCCCAGTGGTCTCCTTCCTTGTGGCCTTCCCACCAATATCCTATATGCATTCCTCTTCACCCCCATTCATGCTACATGCCCTGTCCACCTCATCCTGCTTGACTTGATCATTCTAATTAAACTTGGAGAAGAGTACAAGTTATGAAGCTCCTCGTTATGCATTTTTCTCCAACCTCCTGTCACTCCATCTCTCTTTGGTCCAGATATTCTCAACACCCTGTATACACACATATATATATTGGAATTTGTATAATAACTGTGGTAGGAGTCAGAAGGATTTGTATTCTCAGAGGTGTATGTTTTAATTTAATGTTTATATTCATCCTTTAGGCAGATTGTTTACATAGGATGTATGTCTTTATGGCACATGACTCAAAAACTATAGAAAATAACAATTCTGCGGTGTCTCAGTCTAACAACAGCATTGCAGCATAATGCAAACCCAGTTCATAGACAAACTTAACTAGGATCATCTACTTATTAATATGATACACCAAATATCCATAAACCAGCAACACAATTGCAAATCATGGGCACAAGTAAGAGAATGATCATGTTATGTTAATTAATATGACATAATTAATCGAGAGAGTAAAATGTATGTTGTAATAAGGACCTCAGCTCCTTTTTTAAATTAACAATTTTTTCAAGTTTACTAATTTAATTTGGCAGTTAATTAAATAAGTTAATTTCCATATTCATTACACCTTTTTTGAGGACATTCATTCTACAAAACTGAACATGGAGGTATGGCTTCTGGCATGTATTGTGATTATAAATTTGTGTTCCATCTTCTCTCTATATAACGTTATACTTCCACTATGTGTATATACCATATATCTATATAAACTAATGGAAGTATATTTAGAATGTTGTGTTTTAGAGTCCTGTTGCACTGATTCACGTCAATGATGTGTATGTATCGACTCTTCTAGTGCACACAATCTCACTTGTCACTTCACTACATGTTTTGGCATCGCTGTGCCATCCTCAAGTGTGTTATTTACGTTAAACTATTGTACTGCTCGCCATCATATGTCGTTTGTAAAATGATTTAAAATGTATATTCGTCGTGTACTATAATAAAATTTATATATTACAATTTTTTTTGTAAGATTTATCATCTTATACATCATATTTCAAAGAAAGAGAAGGACACATCACAAGACGCAGTATAGACAAAATATAGCAAGAACGACTCCCATAGCGGAAGATTGATATAATACGTGTGTTTGAAATACGATGTATAAGATGATAAATCTTAACAAAACTTTAATATATATAAATTTTATTATAGTACATGATGAATATACATTTTAAATCATTATACAAATGACACATGATGGCGAGCAGTGCAATAGTTTAATGTAAATAACACACCTGAGGATGGCACAGTGATGCCGAGACATGTAGTGAAGTGACAAGTGAGATACACATCATGGAAGTATATTCAGATTTCTAAAAAGTTGCCTGCATGATATGTATCTCTACACCACTGACTATGTAACCCATTTTTTAAAAAAATACTTTGTTTGAAATACCACCATCATGGAGAAGGAAAGCATACCAGAAATAAGCATGAACATAATGTAAAATAAATATTCGTTATACAAGATGGTCTCATTTTTTCCTTAAGAGATTGTGTCATAATTAATTTATTGAGTTTGGTGCTTAGAGTGCATTTCCATCTTATTTAATATTTTCACTGATTGGTGTGCTTTCAAACGTTTTCTATGGTTCTTAGCCAATATCCATATTGCGAAATTCTTTAGGTTACATAATTTGCTCCCTTAGACCTGTATTAAGATTGAAAATTCTAAAACAGATCTACTTCCCCTATGTTCATTGAGTGTTAAATTATGGTATCATGTTTTGGTGTAATTCACCACATAGCAGATCTGTTTTTATAACGCAGAAACAAATTGTAAGAATTATCATGAAAGCTAAAACAAAGGATTCCTGTCAGGAAATGTTTAGTAAAGATGGAATTTTAACTCTTTACTCCCAATACAGTTTTCAACACTTATGTTTGCTGTAAAGCTCGAGCATTTATTCACATTAATTATTGAATTGCATAAAATAAATACTCACCAAAAACTTGACTTTCATGTTCCTTTAGTAAGTCTAACTGAAGTTCAAAAAGGAGTATACTATTCCAGTATTACCTTATTTAACTCTCTATCCCCCACTATCAAGCAAGTTGCTCATGATATTAATAAATTTAAACATAAATTGAGAAAGTTTCTTATAGAAGACTCTTTCTGTTCAGTTGAAGAGTATCTTGATAGGAAGGCCATGCCATTGCTCAAGCGGTTAGTAACTGGCTTCCCACCACGATAGCCCGGGTTCGATACTGGGTCTGGTCAAGTGGGATCTGTGGTGGACAAAGTGGCACTGGGGCGGGTTTTCTCCGAGTACTTCAGTTTCCCCTGCCAATCTTCATTCCGCAAAATTCTCCATCATCATGATCGCCCGGGGCAGGTTACAATAGGCCAGTCAGTGGTTGCCCTGCCGAGTGGACCCTGTTGGACTCCACCCCCGACTAAGCAAATCTTGATAGGAATAATAAATTTGACCTTAGGGTATCCCAGTAATTATAGCTTTGTATTTTAGTTTTCATTCGTTAGTTTGTTACATATATTCTAATTGTTATTTATCTTATGTTAAGACAATCTTATATAATATATCAGTGTAATCTACTGACAATTTCTATATCCAAAGGTTATGTACCTGAATGGATCGATGAATGTTGATAAATAAATAAAAGGTTTTACTGCATCCTTTTTATTTAACCAGAAGTGCAAGTCATTGTACATGTATTTATTTTTTTATAGGAGGATCTGTCCATTCTCCGCTGTTGGTAGAATGTTTCATCAGCAAATAAAATTATCTTTTATCTCTGATGTTTATTGGCAGGTGATTTATGTTTAATAAAAACACTATCAGTCCAAGAACCGAACCCTATGGCACCAACATTTTATTTCTCCTGGAGCAGAAACATATTTACTTGGTTACAGTTATAGTTATTTCAACAGCTTGCATCCAGTTTGCCAGATACAGTTCAAACATCAGTTCTCAAGGCTCGTGTATTCGGAAAGCTCATATATCCCAACTCGTGCCTAAATTGTGCAAGGCTTGTTACTCAGTGAGGGTGATCAAGCCCATTGTGCCCACAGAGTCATTAAAAATGGTGTATCACTCTTATTTCCATTCACTTTTGACCTATAGAATTATTTTGGGGGCAATTCTTATAGTATGCACATTTTCAGAATTCAAAAGAGAATAATTGGAACCATGAGTGGGTTGAGATCTAGGGACTCTTGTAGAGATGCTTTAGGGATTGGGGAATTTTGCCGTTGCAGTCCCAATATATATTTTCTTTATTGATGTTAGTTGTGAATAGTACGGGTATATATCACATGACATCACAAATTCATGGCCTTAATACTAGGCGTAATTTTGATCTTTATTTCCCTGAGACAAATTTGACAACTTACCAGAGAGGACCTTACTATTTTGGTATTAAAGTAAAAATAAAAATTAAAGCTGTCCCTGTACCAGGCCGTGAAGGCCCATAGGGCTGTGAGACGTTGAGGTTCCCGCATTATCTAGACATTCGGCTCAAAGATGGCGGTAAAGTTGTCAGCCTTACGCGCCGGCCACACTTTACTCCCCAGGAAAATTATTTAATTAATTCCTGGTACTCATTTCTGCTAGAGGCTGAGTAAACCCCAGGGCCTAGTGCGGCTGGAAGGATTAGGTCACCTGAAAAAAAGAATCCAATGACCTCATCATGACTTGAACCCGCGACCTTCCAGCTTGTAGCATAGTGCCTCAACCACTATTTTGGTATTAAACTTTTTAATCATCTTCCTTTAAATACAAAAGAGTTAATCCATAATATTAAGCAATTTAGAGCAGCTTTAAGTGCCTTTTTACATACTAAATCCTATTACACTTTAGTTGAATGTTTTAATTATGGATAGTTTCTTGTTTAGCTATGACCCATTATTTGATCTATTGTCATGTATATGCTTTAATTTTGTATTATATCTTATATACACATGGTTACGTAGTTGCAGTGATGTAGGGGTTTCATATGCTCGATTTATTGTTGTGGATTTATATGCATTGTTCTGTTGACTACTTGCTGATTTAGCAAGCTTGTGGTTTGACAGGTTCTGTATCCAATGGCTTCGGCCTTGTATGTATGTGCTGGAATGCGTAATAAATACAAATACATCTAATTCCATATGAATTTAATTTGTCAAGTAGAATTTCATGGTTATAACATCATATGCGCTAGTTAAATGAATTTGGGTGTTCTGCTCCCCACCCGTCCTCCCCCTGTCCTAGAAGAACACCCCTGTTATGTTTTCAAGTTAGGAGTATATTGCTGTCTCATTTGATTGTTGTTTCCTTTATTCATTTTGGGCTTCCATTACTGTATTATTTCTTGATGAAAAGGAAAGTAGCCCAATTATATGCTATTTTATGATCATTGAGAAGGCATGTAAAATGAATATTGGCCTGTGAGTTATATAGAAAATGGTTTTACTTTTGCAATTTTAAACCTATCCAGAAAAATACCAACTTCTAAAGAGGCATTATAAACCTCATTCTATTTCAGCATCTCTCACTGGAAAAATAAACATATTGTTACATGCATTAGTAACTATAGACAGGGTTTGGATTTGCAAATTAAAATTTTCGTGTCTCTAGCATGATTTTACAATAAGAGTTTTATGTGCGTTAAAAATGACATGTTGGTGACCCTGTGACATTCATAATCAGAAGAATACAAAGAGCACTCCTGCAGTTCATGAACTGAGATTGTTGGTAGATTTCTGAAAACCGAAATGAGATTGAGGCCACAGAGGCATAAATTGCCAGGTAAACTTGCTTCACTCCCAGTTATGTTTAGTATTAGAATTCATCGCCATCACAGAATTTGCCGTCTTCCTTTAATACTGTGGGAAAAGGGGGCAGATATTTGAGGTATGTAGATGTTGATGACTGAGGCTCAGATCCTGGAATGGGCAGAGATTTCTCCATGTCACCATGTCCAGACTAGCTGTGGGGCCTGTCCATTAAGCACCTGGGGCTCTTTCCCAAGGATAAAATTGACAGCATGTAATGAACTATTTATTACTGAGGTGGTGTGCTTAAGCATTGTGTACATTTGTAGGATGAAACAAAAAATATGCTTTAATCAGTCCAAACAGAGAGCGTGGAGATAATTCTCCAGTGGGTAAAAAATGTATATGTGCACATTTTGGATGATCATACTTGGATTTGAAAATGTACTTGCGTGGTCACCAGTGGAGACTGAAAAATTTTAGATGATACCTTTTGGCTGATTTTCCACTTGGGAGTTACTAATTTTTTTTGGTGTTGTCTTATGCCCGGCCCTTAGGATGTGTGGTGTGAAGGCTGAGAGAAATTAATCTTGTGTGCTGAAAAGAGCCAAGAGGCACAGCAGGGAACTGGAAAATACTGATTAACCTTTTTTTGGCAATCGGAATTTTTGTCTGATTACCAGAGAAAAAAAATCTTGCCCTACTTACACTACCAACTATGTAAGTTAAGGTCGTATATCATCTTAATTCTGAGGAAAGTGTATGTTGCGATATTCAACTAGGGTAATAAGCAGGGGCGGCCCGCGTATAGGCACTGCGGAACTGCAGCACCCCCAATTTCCACTTGATATTATCGATAACATTTATATAATGAGTCCTTTTTTCTTATTCTTTCTTTATACTTGTACAATACAATATATAATCCTTAAGCTTAATGTCAGTAGCCAAATCTTTGTATGGAACTGTGCGCTTCTGGAGCAGCACCCCACTAATTTTAGCTATGAGCCGCCACTGGAAATAAGGAATTCTTGCAAGTGCTTCTCTTGTTTTTAGGAATTGGCATGGATTCCTCTGTTACTCCACTGCGGCATGGTGGTCTGTCCCTTGTCCAAACAACAGACTTCTTCTACCCTCTGGTGGATGATCCATACATGATGGGTAAGACAAGAAATTTTGATTTTTCAAATTACGTTGAAAGGATGGATGAGTAAACCAACACATCACTGTGATGGTTTCTGACAGAATGTTGGTGGATGTACCGATATCATAGAAAATATATTGGAGAAATTTTGGTTTTTCAAATTATATTCAGAGGATGAATGTGCAAACCAACACAGCTCTGTGATGGTTGATGACAGAATGTTGGCAAATGTGTGTTAGACATAATGAAAATTTTGTATTTGTTAAATTAGTCACAGTTATGCTTAGTGGGGACCCAATTTATATTTCCAGATTTTGATTTGTCTTTGAAATTTGTCAAGGAATGAATGTTCTTCTATATACGAGGGGGGACCCAAAAATAACCGGAAACGACCTGTTGCACGCGCATGCTTTGTAGTTACGAGTTGTGCTGCTAGGTGGTGTTAGCTGGGGGTCTCCCGCGACTGTTAGTGAGCTGGCGTCAGTCTGAGTTAAGTGGTTTGTCTGTGGTGCTCTGTTGTGTGCGTTCCTGTTTCAACCCTTTGGCGATTAGTGAGATGGCCGACCAGAAGGAACAAAGAGTGTGCGTGAAATTTTGCTTTCTGTTAGGGAAAACTGCACTTCACTCTTCAAGTCGCGGCAAACTTTCACGCGGTTTTCTCTTTGGTCATCTCCGAGCAAGCGAGGAACAAATTTTGCAGACACCCGTCTCATGTGCAAACCTTCGGTTAAAATTCGCTGGACCGTGCTCCATGAGATGTTCGTTTCTTCAGAAAGTTGGTCAATGGTCTTTCGACGATCTTCATCAATTGCACGTTTGATTTTGGCAATGTTTTCGTCACTTCTTCCTGTCGAAGGACGCCCGGGGCGTGGCATGTCTTCTGTTGACATGTTGCCAGATTTGAAACGGGAAAACCACTTGTAGACCTGTGATTTCCCCAAAGCATCATCATTAAAGGCTTGCCAAAGCATCCCAACAGTCTCGGCTGCAGTTTTCCCTAACAGAAAGCAAAATTTCACGCACACTCTTTGTTCCTTCTGGTCGGCCATCTCACAAATCGCCAAAGGTTTGAAACAGGAACGCACACAACAGAGCACCACAGACAAACCACTTGACTCAGACTGACGCCAGCTCACTAACAGTCGTGGGAGACCCCCAGCTAACACCACCTAGCAGCACAACTCGTAACTACAAAGCATGCGCGCGCAACAGGTCATTTCCGGTTATTTTTGGGTCCCCCTTCATATTTGATGTGTTGATTGATTTTGTGCCAGTTCAATGGACATTTATGTGAAGACTTCAGTTCTGGCTCAGAGTAGCCATGGTAACCTGTTAGTGTCTCATGTGCACTGCTAAATTAACATTATATGCAATAGCCCTTAACTGGAACAGCTTTGATGCCTGTCACAACAGCACAAGGTGGGCACTGCTTTATCTTCAGCTAGGTTAGTCTCACCTGTTCATGATACTTATGGACAGTGTGATTACCATATTTCCTGTGAGACAGAATTATTTAGGAAGAAAAAATTAAATATATTTTAAACCATGCAGGTGTATAAGATGTACTGTGAACTTTACAGCTATTTTGAAGAAAAATCCATGTCTGAAGGTGGTGTTCCTTGGGCCATTAGCCATCACTATGCCAACTATCACATAAGTGTTGTAATACACGTGTACTGTTACCTACTTTTAAGGTAGCGTAGTTGGTTGAGGCACTATGCTACAAGCCAGAAGTTCATGGGTTCAACTCCAGAAGAGGTCATTGGATTTTTCCAGCCACACAATTGCCTTGGGGTTGACCCAGCCTCTAACAGAAATGAGTACCAGGAATCTTCCTGAGGGTAAGGGGTTACTGGCACATAAGGCTGACAACCTCACCACCATATCTGAGACAGTTGTCTAGAAAATGTGGGAGCCTTGATATCTCACAACCCTATGGGCCTCCACGGCCTGTTATAGGGATAGCTTTACCTTTTTTACCTACTTTTATTACATGTCCGCCATGAGTCGTGTATCTCACTGCATATGTTTGGTGTGAGGTTGTTTACTGCTTTCAGCAATTTAAAAAATTCTGTTTGAAAATATTTGTTCAAGGTGTCGCTTACACATTTGTGTATGAGAATGGTTTTGTTTTCTGGAGAGTGGAAGGCACAGGTATGATGCTGCTTCATTTTAGTCTTTGTTAACATAAAGTAACTATAAATTTGTGTTACAGCATTTTTTGTATCTCATGTTTCATCGGGGTCATCATGGTGTATTGTATCCTGATCCATGTTTGCAAGGTACAACATTATGCATCTGCATTATTTATACAGTATGTTGAGTGAGTTCAGTAACAAGAAGGGTGACAGTGCTCATTGATAGTTTGTTTGGTTTCAGGCTGATACTGCTGCATCTCTTTCTCATCGCCTGTTAGAATGCATCCAAGAAAATTGTTGTGTTCTAATTCATAAAACAAAAGAAAAACAAACTCTGTTGCCTGTAGTCCGCAGGCGAACTATACCGACTGGGCGACTGCCACTCATCAACAAAGTTAGTGCCAACTTTTTGCAGATAGAGGCTGTCGTGTGGTAAGAGCAACGAATCCCCACGGCCATTAATCTCGGTTTGCTAGACTGGAGCCGCTACTTTTCCATTCAACTAGCCCCTCAGTTATCCTCACAAGGCTGAGTGGACCCTGTTCCAGGCCCACTACTTCTCAGAAAATATGGTATTTCCAGGAAGTGAACCCAGGACCTCTGGATCTGTAATCAGGAACTTTGACCACTAGACCACAGAGGCAGTTCTAATTCATAGGAAGCCAGAAATTCTGTGCAGGTGTTGTTTCTTATCACACGTCAACTTATGTGCACACCTTGTTGAATTCTAGTAGCTCATGGACTGAAGAAACAGTCATTTGTAACATCACAGCAAGGTATCTGAAGTTGCTCTGATTTTCCTGAATTAAACATTCTGCTTGTGCAGTGATGTTAGGAGGGATGATGTGTTAGGCTTTGCCTGGCCATGGAGCGTAAATCCAATCCATATGCTCTCTTCCCTGTTCGCCTGCTTGCAGGCATATGATCTCCAGATGAGTATGACATAATATACACAATTCTGCGAGAAATATTTGCTGGTTTGTCACCCAGGATCAATTCCTGGTGCTATCAGATTTTCTGAGAAGTAGTGGGTCTGGTACAGGGTCCATTCAGCCTCATGAGGATAATTGAGGAGCTGTTTCAAGGAAATAGCTGCTCAAGTCTAGAAAACTGATATTAATGGCCGTGGGGACCCATTGCACTGCCCACATGACACCCTCTATCAGCTAAAGTTGGCACTATTTTTTCTTTTTATTGCTAGTGGGGTGGAACTAAGTCCCTTGTACTGCAGCCACTTCTGGCCTATTGTACCAGCCCCAGATGATAGGTGAGGGTGATTGTGGAGCAATTGGTGGAATGAAGATTGGCAGGGGAAACCGAAGTACTCGGAGAAAACCTGCCCCAGCTCCACTTTGTCCACCACAAATTCCACTTGACCAAACCCGGGCTACTGTCATGGGAAGCCAGCGACTAACTGCTTGAGCTATGGCGCAGCCTAAAGTTGGCACTAACTTCACTGACAAGTGGCAGCCACTCAGTTGGTATAGTTCACTTTCAGACTACAGACCACGGAATTTGTTTTTGTTTCTTTGGCTTGTCACTATCATTTGCCAAACATTTAATAACACTACACCTATTTGACCCCATATGCATCATCTATAGTACATGTATGTGTGTTGCAGAAGGTCAGCACTACATGAAAGGCAAATAGCTTGTGGCTTGTGGACATCTTATGTGTTGCAGTAGAACAACCACTATCATTTGAATTACCCTCACAGAAATATAATTTTAAGTAATGACAACGCATTAGTGTTGGAGAATTTTCGTGATAGTTTGCTTGAATATAAATACAATTTGAGAGGAGTGGGGGATTCAATAGGGAATTGATACAACTTCTGCCTCACCGTTAGAACATTTTAAATAATATGATGATTCATGATGCAGTGTACTAATTTGATAAGAGTATTGCAGGCAAGATTGCATGTGCAAATGTGATCAGTGATTTGTACGCTATGGGTGTCACTGAATGTGACAACATGCTAATGCTGCTGGGAGTATCAACAAAGATGACTGAGAAAGAAAGGGACGTTGTCGTACCTCTCATCATGAGAGGATTTAAGGTAAGAAATAATCTTTGAATTTATATCATTCAGTGAATTAAATTTGTCTTATAGCAGGCATTAATGAAGAACATGGCCATTTTCATGTAGTTTACATTTTTGTTTAATCATTTAATCCTAGACTAGTCAAAAAACTTTCCCACTTGGGAAATTTGAGATCACTGTATTTGTTGCTGGATTTGAGGTTCTTACAACAGTGACTATGAAGTATTATGTCTTCAGGGATACAATGCCATGTAAAAATTTTCACTGTGCTTAACTAGTTAAGCACTACACCATGAAGGCGTATTGGGGAGTGGATGTATAGGTCCACATTTTCTTGACCTCAGCACTAATTGGAGGTGAGTGGTCAGCTTCACACCCTGGCTACTTTACCCCCGGGGAAGGAGCCCCTGGTACCCATTGGATAGGAGGTTGGGTGGACCCCATAGCTGGTCTGAATGATGTAGAGAAGAGAAAATTTTTGACCCTACCAGGACTTGAACTCTGACCCCTCGGTCATCCAGCCCATAGCCAGTCACTATACCGACTGCGCTATCACAGCTCGCTACAGTGCCATATAGTTCAGTGAATATTTAGCGAGATATGTGCAGAGATGAGTGTAGGTCTTCATGTAAAGTTGTCACTGGACATGTCGATTTCAATGACAGGTGAAATGGCTGGACTGTTTTTCACAAAATTCTCCAGTATGAAGTTTCACGAAAATCTGTCCAGAAGTTCTGGGGTCGAAACATATCGAACATGGCTAACCATGTACAGTATATATATTCATATCATGCACATCGTACTGTTAACATGTAATAGATGTGTGACTATTAGTGGTCCATTTTGGGTTTTTTTCTTCTTGGTGGTGGGGGGGGGGCATGGCTGGCAAAAAATTTTCACTTTTGCTTGTAAGAGCACATTTTCAGGTTTCCATATTTGATTTAACAAGATGGGAAATTATGGCTTCCTCAGTTTTAGAAGATCACATTTACTGTATGCATTTCATTTTGTGCATCCTGTTGTGTTGTTATATACAATTTTTTTATTACAGTCCGTCACAACACAACAATATAAAGGTCAAGGCTAAATTAGCTTGGCTACATGTTTCAGCTATTAAAGCCATCATCAGCAAACACATGACTACCATATTCACACACCACTGAACTGCAATTACGATGGTAAAGCTGGACACTTATTAAAATGAAAGTTATGTTGTAAAATAAGGTTAAAACTCTTATGTGATATTCTATATCAAGTCAGTTTGTTGCAATTTTGCTGTATTCCTGCAGACATAATGGTATTTCAGACTTGTGTACATGTAATAAGCTGGTCACGGTAGCCGAGCGGTCTAAGGCATGCACTGTCTTGCTCGCTTGGAAGCCGGGATCGTGGGTTCGAATCCCACTCAGGGCATGGATGTTTGTGTGCGTTTTTCTGTGTTTGTGTACAGGTAGAGGCCTTGCAACGAGCTGATCACCCGCCGTCCTACCGTATGTCTTTAAGATCTAGTAAACCGAAGTGAAACGGAGAGTTTCATGGAGGTAGGCCTAGGCCCAAATGAGGGCTGTAGCGCCAATGAAAAAAAAAATACATGTAATAAACTGCTTGGAGGCCTGTGGTGTAGATGTAATGTAGTTTTGACATTAATTGTTTAGCTGGTGCCTCATCTTACAGTGTATTTGTCTTTTCTGTAAGGAATATAGATTGCAACTGATTTGGTGATGTATGTTATAAGTGAAGTCGATGGTTTTAATAGCCGAAACATGCGGCCAAGCTGATTTTAACCTTGACCTTTATATTGTTGTGTTGTGATGGACTGTAATAAAGAAATTGTATACTGTATGCTGTTTATACATTGGTTCAGAAGTTGGTTAGAGGGCCCAGGGGTTGAAATGTAAGGCAGTTTGTTTAAATATATCTACTCCTATCTGGTGAAGGAATGAGAACCAAGTTAACACTGATATTGGTATTTGTGAGATATGTTTGACAACTTGTAACCCCTAAGCGGAAAAGTTCAATAAAAACTATTCTTTTCAGCATCGTGAAATTGTTGAAAAAGTTAAATCTATTGTGCATGGTGCATTTTTTTTTTCTTAGAGAAATGTGATAAAACAAAATAGAGGAGAATACAGTGAAATGCCCATATAACCCTCTCGCTGCAATATTCAACTGAAGTCAAGCATCCATTAGTGTATAGTGTGACATTTGACTCTAGACCACCTCAAGAAGTAATCTCATTTTTCTGTGTTAGTTTACTTTATTCCCTGGGCCATGAAAATGCATAATTTTTTGGAAAATTATGAGAAAATAATACACAGGAAGAGAGTTGAGATTTCTGTGAGTAGTACAGAACTGAGGCGAATGTAAAATGGAAAAAAATAACACAGATTGGCTTGGGGTCACTTACATTGAGTCTAGTCATGTTTTTCCTTAATGTATCCTTAAGGTTCTTGAGAAATATCGCATCTTAGTAATATTCAGTGTCCATAAAACATGTTATTTCATTTGGTACTGAAGACAAGGGTGATCCGAGAAACGGTGTTACAGTGTGGAAATTCTGGTTGGTAAGGTGTGGTTTTTAAGTGATGTGCATCAGATATGAAATTATTCTTACATTTTTAAGGATTCTGCCCTTGAAGCTGGAACCACAGTGACTGGTGGACAGACAGTTGTGAATCCTTGGTGCACGATTGGGGGTGTTGCTTCCACTGTGTGCCAACCCAATGAATACATAGTGTAAGTGATACATGCCCTGTGTTCGTTATATTAGTTGAGAAGTGCCGTGAAAGTTCCATTGTTTAATTTTTATGGTAATAGATGCTTAAAAGGGGGCAGGGCTTAAAAAGCAAAGCCACATGTTAATGAACAACCCAGTACATTGTATGTAGTACTTCAGTAACAGTAGTGGACAACCTCTATCTTTTAGTAAAAATAAAAATAAATTTTAACTTTATTTTAATAGTTAAATAAAAGTTATAATGTAGCTGAATGATGGCATTAAAACATATTCATTTGAATTCAGAAGATTTAATTACATTTATAAGATAATGCACTAGAATATCCGCAAAAAATAAATTCCATTTGTCTGTCTATAAGGAACATTTATTAAAACTTATCTTTTATTTTATAACTGCTAAGACACTTTTGAATTTACGTGGATTTAGGATGGCATTTTGAAATTTGTATACCACTTTGTTTTAAATTTGAAATATATTAGAGTGGGGGGCACGGAGTAGTGTAGTTGGTTGAGGTACTATGGTACCAGCTGTAAGGTTGCAAGTTCGATTCCTGATGAGGTCATTGGATTTTTTCAGTTGACCTAATCCTTCCAGCTGCACTATGGCCCTGGGGTCAACTCAACCTCTAACAGAAATGAGTACCAGGAATCTTCCTAGTGGTAAAAGGTGGTCGGCGTGTAAGGCTGACAGCCTCACTGCCATCTGTGACCTGACTGTCTAGAAAAATGTGGCAGTCTCAATATCACAACCTTATGGGCCTCCACGGCCTGTTACAGGGATATATTTATGTGAATTAATACAAATTAAAAGGAGTTTATTTTCCTGTGTTGTTGATTTAAATAATATCAGTGCAAATTAATGCAGACTAGGATGAATTTACTGGCTTGGTAGGTGACATTGGAAGTAAGAATTGCATAATTGATGAAATTCTTTTAGCCCAGACAATGCCGTAGTGGGTGATGTTTTGGTTCTCACTAAACCTCTGGGAACCCAAGTAGCTGTAAATGCACACCAATGGCTTGACCAACCAGAAAGATGGAACCGAATCAAACTCGTTGTCTCTGAAGACGATGTCCGCAAAGCATACCAGCGCTCAATGGATTCAATGGCAAGACTGAATAGAATAGGCAAGTCATCAGAATTGTGTTGTGTTTCCAGTTGTTAGTGGGACATGTGGATTGTCCAGTAGCATATGTAATATTTACTGTGTTTGAGATGGTAATAGTTAACATAATTGACTTCTTGAACCTTGGGGTTTCATAAGTGTACCTTATTCCAAAAAGAAAAATTATAGGTCTGTGTGACTCCATATTTTCATCATTTCTAAGAGAGAGACAGTAAATCTAAACCGAAATCGAAACTAGTATTTATTTCATGTAAGAATATTTGACACTCCGCTGAGGTTCAGACTAGTAATATGCAAAAATTTCTGAAATTGACTAACTTACGCATATATGTTCAGAGTAATGAAGAAGTCTTACAACTCTTGAATGGCTCTATTGTCCTACCCTTTCAGAAAAGATTGGTATTACTGTAGTAACTAATGAATAGCACCTTTATGAAGTAGTAGTAGGAACACTGGAAACAAACAAGACACACAGCACAACACACAACAAGAGGGAATGCAACCCACCACCTTGAACACACATGCGCATCAAGGAGACTTATATGTTAACATAAGCAACAACATTGAAGACAGAAATTTCCTCACCCAGTAATTTTAACTTCTGATGGTGATCAAATTGGTCTAAAGATGTAGTGGAAAATTTTTAAAGTTAATATTTTTTAATAAATTTTATAGAACATTAGTGTTGCACGTGAGACTGTAAAAGAGTAACTGACACATAATTGGAACTACTTTAGTAGAGAAGGCCAAATGGAATTTTTTAAATATTCATATTAAAATTGATATTAGAAAAAATAAAAATTAATGTAAAGAATCCACCACTCTTCATCTTGGCCTATTTTTTTAAATATTTTCTGGCAGTCTTGAAAGTGACACCTGTTACTGTTCAAAAACTATGTAACAGTGGCAGTCTATATTGGAAGGCACTTCCAAGTTGGCATTTCCCTTGCAAGTTGTAGTTAAGGAAATATGCACTAGGCAAAACTGTACGTCATTTCTATAGACTTACAGTCGCAACAAAAGATTACCATAATAGCAAAAGTAGTATTCTGGATTCTACTGCACTTTTAAACAGAATTGTATCCTATGTATATATTCATTCACATTAGCCTCTGAAAAGTGAGATTGGAATATTAACATCTACCTTGATCAATCTGTGAATGAACCATATTGATATGATTTTCAGCTGCTAGATTGATGCACAAATACAATGCGCACGGTGCTACTGACGTAACTGGCTTTGGATTGCTTGGACATGCCCAGAATTTGGCCAGACATCAGAAGAATGAAGTATCTTTTGTGATTCACAACTTGCCAGTGATAGCCAAAATGGCTGCTGTAGCCAAAGCTTGCGGGAATATGTTCCAGCTTCTTCAGGGCCATTCTGCAGAAACATCAGGTGAGCAAACCTGATGCTGTGTTTGAATGTGTGTGTGAAATTACACACTGTATGAATGGATTCTTAGTACCACATTTTTTCAGATTATAGTTATGTTTGCATCAGAAATTTTATTAAGTCCTTTTCAAACTTGTAGGGTTCTGATGTTCTTTCTCTTGATTCTGATTGACAGTGGTTTTTCCATGGCCTATGTGTGTAGTCTTGACAACTTGTGCTGTCTGCATGAGGCCTGATTATATATTTTATTGGACCAAGGACGTATGATGTGTAGTCATCATGAATTTGTAATATGTGACATGTTTTATATCCAGCCCTACGGGGAGATGAGTGGTTACATGAAGTGAAAATAAATGTAAATGTAAAATCTGATGATGTTCTAGAACACATATACAAATTTATCTGCATTAATTTTATTTGAAGTTATGTTGCAGTGCAGTAGCCAGATTGTGCACTAGAGTAACTGGAATTTGAACAAGGGAGTCTCGTGTGGTAGGCTAACTGAAAGTCCAGAAATAATTCCATTTTGCTGATAACTGACCTCTTTGTCCAGGTTAATTAATACTGAACAGAATTCAAAATGAAATGTTTCTGGGTAAGAATGGAGGTAACTTCTTCTTTGGCAGTGTCAGAACCTCTCTCATCAGAAGGATTATGGCCTTTATCATGAAAAGAAAAGGTCATAGACATCTAGAATTGTGAGACTCCTATCTGCTTGAAAATCTAGATTTACATTAGGCTTTCAATGGCACAGATAAGCTGATCTACATAGGGGGAAGGGTACAGGACATTACAGATCATACAAGTGGCAGTGGTTAGGAACTACAATCTCCAGTAGCACTGAAGATGGCTGACAAACCAAAATGCATATGCAAGAAGTAACTAGATTTGGATAGCTGAAATTAAATGAATAAAAGAAATATGACCCAATAAGACCTATAGCTTGAGAGCTGCTATTTACAAGGTTTTCATTACTAGAGTACTATCATGTTCATACTACAATAACTTAAGAATTGTTTTACTTATATTAAGTAATGTGCATGTTTAGGCTTACTTTATTATGTACTTACTGATGTGTATGACTATATGTATGTTGTACTGCTTTATTTGTGACTATTTCCACATCCTGTGAAATTGTTTTCTGTATGGATTTATGGAAAATGAATGAATGAATGAATGACTGTACCTGTATAACATTTTTCCTAACGTAAGTTGAATGCTTGTAGAGCTCCTGGTTTTTAATAGAATTTATGCACTATTCAACAAAATGTTATTAAATGCAATGGAATATGGAACCCTTCATTTCTGTTCACATTTACTCCTACAAAACAAAGGTAATCTAGCTTGATTTGCAGAGTATAGCCTGTTGCAAGATATTTTAGATTTAAACAGGGACTACCATTACATTATGGCCGTGCCATAGCTCAAGCGGTTAGTCTCTTGACTTCCCACTTGATAGAACCCAGGATGCCATGGTGGGAAGCCAGCGACTAACTGCTTGAGCTACCATGCCTCTTTGTTTGATGGATCATATTATCATGTCAAAGGAAAGCTTTTGAAGTTTATATTTCTGTAACTAAGATCCATTTATAAAGAAGGGCAGACATGTCACTATTTTATGTCTACTTTCAACTTCTCCCTACCAACCCAAGTCTCATGTCCTCTCCTTGTTAGTGCAAGATGGCTCGTGATGTAACAGAAGACAAGCAATGAAGTTTTAGAGTAAAGTGACCATGAAGTGTTATCGACGTATGGTGTGTTGGAAACACGCTGTGTGCTAAATTAAAAAATTCCTGATATTTCTTTCAAAAGTGTCAAGTTAGTATCCATATAGCGGCCTCCGTAGTCTAGGGGTAATGTTCCCACCTCATGACTCAAGGTACGTGGGTTCAAACCCGGCGGAGGTCATGGAATTTTTAAGGGTGGAAAAATTCAGGGAATAAGTCATCTGGGAGGGACTTTAAGCCATGGGTCCCATGTCGTAGATTTACGGCACGTAAAAGATCCTTGTGTCTCTAGGAGACCTCTGAGCAAAATTAGGCAAAAAGTTTCCCACCCAAGTAGTTTCCAATGCCTCTGGTAGATGGGGAAGTTATCAGGTACCACTGCCAGAAGAGGGCCGACCTCGCTGGCAGAAATGGGAGATAGCGAGCACCAGTACCGGTAGGGTATGGCGACAGTAGAAATTTATAGACTACTAGTCGCGGTGTATGGGGAAACCCACCCCCTCTAATACTGAATAACCGAACTGAATAGTATCCATATTCTTAGGACTAAAATGGGCTCATGCTATTCCAAAGTCCACACTAAACTCTATGTTGTATTGCCAGAGGAAAAGTATATCGTTTTGAAGGGTGATCAAGAAAATGTTTGAGTGTTGTAACCTCTGTTTTTCATTTTCAGGTGGTCTGCTTATTTGCTTGCCAAGAGAGCAGGCTGCTGCGTACTGTAAGGATATTGAGAAGCAAGAAGGTTATCAGGCTTGGATTATTGGAATTGTTGAGAAAGGAAATAGAACAGCTCGAATTATTGATAAACCACGTGTGATTGAAGTCCCTGCTAAAGAGAAAGATGGAGAACTGTGGTAGACAGAACTAATAATAACATACATCTTGAACACATGTACTAAATGCAGATATGAATATATATATCATGGAACAGTGAGAGTAGTAAGGATGTCTGACTTGTACCCAGTATAAGTGCTTCTCTTTTGGAAAAGAGTACAGTGCTTCCTGATGCTTGAATGTATCAAAGTTGCCTGAAGTGGTAAATTGTGTTGCTTTGCCAAGTGAGGACTGCTTTTTATGAGTATACAACAATATTGAAGAGAGCAGATCAAATTTGGTACTAGCTTAATGTTACGAAAGTCAAGTTGGCTGCTTTTTGTCTTTTTTTGTGATAACATTTAATGACAATCTTTAGGTGTTTCTTGCGCTGTTAGCATATCTGCATTATAATGAAACTATAAGGATGTTTGGGTCCTTCAAATGTACAATTTTGTCTTCTTTATATACATGTGCCAATTAAGTTTATCCTCTTGCCAGTACTTATTTAGAGCCTCAAGTTTTAACATCACCACTGTGTATTGAATTACCATGTTCATGTTTAAGGAATGTAATGTTGTTTCCTTGCAGCTTGATATCAGTTGTAGGTTTTGTATGGTTTTGGATTCATTTAAAAGCTATTTTAAACAATGAGCAGTTTTGGATTTGGTGTTCATTTCAAATTTATTATATGAGTAATTTTGGTCAGATTAAATGTAAATCAAACTTGGGTTGATTTAGAGCACAAAATGTTTAAACTATTTCTGAGTCATGAACAGCATGTATATGAAACAAATTTTTAATACTTTCACTTTAACTGGATCTTACAAGTTTCTAGTGGTGATGGACAAGAGTGGAGCACTGAGTGAGTGTGGGTCTGCAAGTGGTGTCTCAAAATGTGTATCAGCATTTACAGAGGAGCTGTCATAATGTCAAGAGGTTAGTCGCTGGCTTCCCACCACGGTGGCCCGGGTTCGATCCTGAGTCTGGTCAAGTGGGATTTGTGGTGGACAGAGTTGCTCGTGTGGGTTTTCTCAGAGTACTTCAGTTTCCCCTGCCAATCTTTATCCCACCAAATTCTCCGTCATCATGATCACACGGGGCAGGCTACAATAGGCCAATCAGTGGCCACCTTGCCAAGTGGACCCAGTTGGACTCCACCCCCACTAAGTGAATTTAAAAAGAAAACTGGTGCTATACTAGACAGTGTAACTTCCTAGAATTTGACCATGGCTGGCTCTCAACTGTCTTCAGCGACGGCTTATGTAGGTGTTCTGCGGACTCAATAGAAGACACCCCTCACCAAGGTTCAACCTCACATGTTCGTCAATCCATTGCTTCAGGAACGCTCTTTATACACTGGTAACACGTTTCCGTCTCATCCATTGTTACTCAACAGCCTTCTGGTGTTCATCTCCGGGGAAACACGTTCATTGTTTCGGCGTTGTCTACGCAGTGGCCCACTGTTATTGCGTTACCATGGAAGTATCTACTCCAAACGCATTACAATATATATATATATATAATATTCCAGAGAAGTAATACTTGCAACTGCATTACATATAACATACTTTGCATTGGTAAGCCCCTGCTTTTCTTTAACTGTCTTTTATTTGCTTCTTCTTTCTCCTGTTAATTTGCCGAGTACGGATGAATTTACATCACATTATTTAGTAATATGGAATGAGAAACAGAGTGGTCTCTAATATGTAATCTATCATTGATCCATTTTTAAATAATTTTCATTGTATGCCTAGGGTATAAAATATGATTAAATGGCTCATTACCAAGACTTTTTGTAGGCCTCCACTGCATATTAAAATCATGTAAATTTTTAAACCTGTCTGAATAAATGTGTTTTTTTATGTAGTTATGGCTGTATAAACACAAAAGCCATGCAAAAGAGTGCACCATTACAAAGTATGGGTTATATTGGAGAACTGTGGACAAAAATATTGAGTACCTAATAACTCCTAAGTGTGCACCCCTTAAATTATGCTTAAATTGCTTAAAAGTTTGTCCACCAGATTTAGATATCAGGTAGGGCAGACATAACCTCCCCATTATGTTCACTTTTGTGGGATTTGTTTTTTCATGTGTATCTGAGTATATGAAGTAAAAAAGTTCAGATAATTTGAATTAAATAGTAACAATGACAGTATTTTACGTGTTCCAAAATTTGTGAAACATTTCACATTGTTTTTCCATAAACTGTATTTACAGTTTCATTTTGTGTGCGCTCTGCTACATTCCTTTTGTAGAAGGTGTCATGGTAGGTATTGATGAAAGAACACTACAAATTTTGTTTCTAAAAGTTTCAGCCTCTAAATTTGAATGTTAGTGAGGTTTGTCAGTTAATGCTGTTTTCACTTGAAAATCACAAGCTCACTGTGAAACCCAAGGAAGCACTGTACTTTCTAGAAATTACATGTCTTAATCTCCAAGTTTCCTTTTGGCCTTCCAGTTTAAGCAACAGTTTGCATGAATAGTATTGGTCACTTTTATATTTATTGCCAACATGCAGGTAATTATCTATGGTCATTATTACATGGTATTTTGCCAACAAAAGCAGTACGTGTGAAACATGAACATGCTGCCTTATTTCTTTGTAGTTTTGGTTTTGCGGAAAGCTTTTGTAGAAACCATGTGCTGTGCTGCAATGACGTATGTGGAATCATGTGTCACCGAATTAAATAGTTTCACATTTTTGCAACTGACTGTCAGTGATTTGTTAAAAGACAGGACATTTTAATATGAAAATACATTAGGTGAAATTTTGTCATGTGTTATTTGGCTTTAAACTGTCTGAAGGTGATGTAAAAAGTAGATACTATAGAGTTCTGACGACGGTGTATAACACACAGAGATACTGGGTTTTCAGACTTTGTCCATCGTCCGGATTCTAAATAACTAAGAAAAAACACAACGTGTCGGAAACTGGATCTGTTTCCATCCTCAGGTGAGGGAAGACACCTACTCTGTTGGATCCCTTAGAAAGAACTAGCTCCAGTGATTGAGGCTAGCTCAAGGGACCCAACATGGCTGCACCGTAACTCAAGCAGTTAGTCGCTGGCTTCCCACTGTGGTGGCCTGGGTTCGATCCTGGGTCTGGTCAAGTGGGATTTGTGGTGGACAAAGTGGCGCTGGGGCAGGTTTTCTCCAAGTACTTCGGTTTCCCCTGCCAGTCTTCATTCCACCAATTGCTCCACAATCACCCTCACCTATCATCTGGGGCTGGTACAGTAGGCCAGAAGTGGCCGCAGTACAAGGGACTTAGTCCCACCCCACTAGCAATAAAGAAGGGGGGGGATCCAACAGAGTAGGTGTCTTCCCTCACCTGAGGATGGAAACATCCAGTTTCCAAAACATTGTTTTTTTTCTTAATTATTTAGAACCTGGACGATGGACAAAGTCCAAAAACCCAGTATCTCTGCATGTAAGAAGTGACTACAATTGCATATGTGATTATAGTTTCAGTTTGTTGCTTGTGCTAGGCAGCCTTCATTTAGAATGTTATTTCCATATGAGATGACATGCGAGATCAAGCAAATTACAGTATTTACATTTTGTATTTCCCTTTGTTACTGAAGTATAGAACTGTAGTTTTTGTTGTAAACAGAATGACGATCCAGTGTTCTCTTTTTATTGGCTGTGTTGCTGTATGTTTCATATGAATTTATACTATTTGTGAATCAATAAGACAAAGAGTATTAATGCAGCTTTATTAGCCAAATTTCTCATATTTTGGGAAAGGTCCTTATCTAAAGGTTCTCCAGATTTTAGTCATAGAAAATGTTGATACTGACATCTGATTGAAATGTTAAAATACTAAAATGCATTTTATTTTAAAATTAATTTACTGGAATGGAAGTCTTTATGTTGGAGATATGTTTCAGAAAGGGTTTATGTTATCTAAGTTTTGAGGTTTTCACGGCGATGACTATGAAGAAAGTCGTCTTCTGGGTTTAGGCGCCGTGTATTCTTCGTTTTGGCCGACATTTCGGAGGAACATATCGACTCCATCTTCAGAGCAGTTGAATGGCTAGGAATGCAGAGAGCAGTAGCTCTCCTCCGAAACGTCGGCCAAAATGAAGAATACACGGCGCCTAAACCCAGAAGATGACTTTCTTCATGTTTATGTTATCATTTTGAAAATCTGCGGCCTGTGCAACTTGCATGGAATTTAACACTTACTCATGGATAAACAGTGTGATTTTAAAGTTTGTATCTTCCTTTGCATAGGAGGTTTATAAATCATGATACAGAATATTCATATCAAGAATGCCATTATTGAAAAATCTAGTCATGTGATTTACATATTATTTTTCGTAGTCTCATGAATGAAAATAATGGCACATGTTACAAATCTAAACTGTAATGAATATGATTTTCTGAGAATTATTTCAGGTATTCTGTACTACATAGGTGTATACCAATATGATTCAGTTCCAATTCTGTTCATACAAAACAGAAAATGAGCAGATGTTATTGGGCAGTAAACACTCAAGTTTACACAACTTGAGTGTTTACTGTCCAATAACATCTCTTTTAGTCGGGAAGGAAATTGCCATACTCTGTTGAATGGATATACATATATACAAATATATAATTTTTCTAATTTAACCCAGTTCCATTCAGATTTATAGCAGAGCAGTATCTAGCCATTACAGGTGCATAGTATGAGGTATGAGTTATATAGTTTACAGATGTTAAATATCGTTGCTTATCAAGTGAACATTTTAATTACAGTACTGGAACAGAAAACGGTGAATTAAAAGGCAGCTAATTTCTGTGCTCTTACAAGTCAAACTGTGAAATATAGATTTTACTCCATAGTTTTGAGGGCATACTTCTCTGAATTGTGAGAATAGCTGAAAAGAATCAAAATGTTACCTAAAAAGTTCGGTATGAATGTTTTGTAACTAGTGTGACTGAGGCATCCAGATCATTGTGCATTTGGTCAAATAGTGGGAAAATGTCAATACATATATGCTGCTTTTGGGTGGGGGGGGGTAATTTATGATGCCATGTGTTATTTCATTTATGCAGGCCACTTTGTCATACTTTTTATGTGGAGGAGGGGGTTATATCATATAGAAATTTGCATTTGACAGTTTGAGCTCTCATTCTTATCCCACACATAAATGCAGTTCTGTGAGTATGACACATCTTTTGTCAAATTCGAAAGGGAAAGGTCGTGTCATAATAGTATAGAAATTGTTTAAGAAATTCTTGAGGCTTGGCATGTATGTCACAGAAGAAATCATATGTCTCTGGGCTTAACTTTGCATTCTGTCACTTAATATTCAATGGGCCTCTGTTTCTTGTTCCTGTGAATTTGGAGTTACATAACTTTATGCTTAAAACTGGAATAATTACACATTTTTAAATATATTTACAATAAATGAAAAGCACATTCCTGAGTTCGCAGTGTTGTATGCATAATATTTTTGTGCATGAGTTCCTCCTACCCAGACTGTTACTTGCATATGTTGAGGTTAAAGCACTAATTTAATAATATTTATATCATGCCAAATAATTATTTTTAATCATATCAGTTAAGTTATGAATCAGGATAGGTAAAGCTTTTATGAAGTCCTGTTCTGAAGATGTTTTGTAATTGATGGATTAAGAATAGTGTTCTGGCTACTCTGTCTCCTCAACCAGATGCTAATAAAATTTATCATTTATTCTGATTGTGCTGCTCATATTTCTGTCATGGGCAATGCAGTATTATTGACCCCAAGCTCTAGCATTCTTTTTCCCAGTGTCATGTATTCAAACCCTACCAAGCTCTCATGTTTATTTCATTTTTCACCTTGTTCTGTTAATACTGTCTTCTAACTAACAATATTATATTTAAGCATCCTGTTGCACTATATACGATATATGATATAAACTCCGTCCCAAGTGCAAACAATATATGTCCTTGATCTTGCTCTCCTTTACACTACATGTTTCGGCCTCAAACGGCCATCAGGTGTATACACGCACGTTGCTGTTACACT